AGTTAAATTAATGTAAATAAGTCCATAAGATGAACTACAGCCAAAAACACTTTTTAGAGTGTAAGACATACTGAAATTACTTTTGTACAGCTGCACCTTCATTCATTTTGTGTGTATTCTGTGTTATTATGTTTTCTTTTAGTTATGCGTGTGGTGGGTTTTTTTTGTTGGTCTTTTTGTATTTCCATCAGCCATCAGTGTGTGTGTTGCTGGGTTTCTGATGCATACCACAGAGATAAAGACCAAATAATTGATTTAACCAACCTGATTTACAACAGTAAAACAACCCTGTATTCTTGTTGTCAACAAATGTGTCATCTTTTCTGACACTCAGAAGATGATTTAAATTTTAAGTAATTTAAGTGCTTTTTTAATTTAAGTAATTTTTGTGCTTTGTTGAACAATATTTATAAGTTCTTATGAGAGAATGACAAGGAATGATGGTTCACTGATCTTTACCTTACAGTTAAAGGTTTACACATGTCTTTCATGGGATTTGTTGACAATAAGAAAACATTATCATTAGGATAATCTGAAATGTACGGAGCCCCTAAGGGGACATGGAGAAAAAAAAAAAGGAAAGAAATCCCGACTTATTATCGCGAGAAGTCGGGATCTCGCGATAATAAGTCGAGATTTCTTTCCTTTTTTTTTTTCTCCATGTCCCCTTAGGGGCTCCGTAGAAATGAAACGGTGATTCAGAGAGATAATTTTCATAGTAAGATTTCATCTTCAATTTGAATTCCTGGCTTTAATTTGTGGCATGTCACATCAGTAGTACATCATGTTGCATCAGTAGTACAACTTCTGCATCTCACTTGAGTCTAAGCAAAATGAATTAACTTACATAGAAGCACCTGTTGTTGTGTACATGTCAATAAGATCAAATAAAAATATTTGCTTTGTGTGTGCGCGTGTCTGTGTGCGTGTGTGTGTGTTCAGGCGTCTGGCACGCTCCACTCTCCTCCTCATACCCCTGTTTGGTATTCACTACACTGTGTTCGCCTTCTCGCCTGAGGATGTCAGCAAGAGGGAGAGGCTTGTCTTTGAGCTGGGCCTTGGATCCTTTCAGGTTTGTTCTCACTCCTCCGCAAAACATCCCGGTCCATATTTACAAAGAATCCTAAGACTAGAAGTAGGTCGTTGGAATTTTCCTAAAATTTTCTTTCAATTTTGCCTCAGTAAGATAAGTTATGCACACAGCACCATAGGCTTTAAGATGGACCCTAACTTGACAAAATGGATCGTGACTTATTTACGTTTCTTCTCAGGGATTTGTGGTTGCTGTTCTCTACTGTTTCCTCAATGGAGAGGTAAGCTATTATCACTTTTATACAGTTTTTTTATTATTTTGTCTTTATTTTTGATATATTAACACCTGTCACCGTGAATGTTTGCGCACCTACACGCAAATACATTACATTACTTGAATTAAAAAATAATTCACAACGTTTTCAAATGTTTTAGTATTCAAAAATATTTTAACTAAAACAGTATTGGATGGAGTAGCGACCAATGTACTAAAGTAGTGTCAGAGTGTCTTGAGGTTACATTTTCTGATCAAGAAACATTTCAGCATTCTTGGAGAAATTAGCAACAATATCAAAACTTCCTGTCACTGGACTTACATGAGGTGATAAACAGACAAAGTCTAAAGAGAAACAAGTTTATTCAGAAAGCCTTCAGACGAGTATTACTTTCCAAGGTCTATTTTATTAAATGGCAAAATCTATTCATTTTAAAACTGGTTATATACTACAGTTAGGTGCCCTATAAAGTTTGTGTTTTACAGATGTCAGTTGCCTGCAAATTAAATAGACTAAATTAAACGATCTAAACACTACCACAAAAATGCTGCCCTTCCATAAAAAAATAAATTCTGACCTTCAATGTGGATGTTGAGGTCTTGTTTTACCATGACCACTTTCCCACAGACAGTAAGTGAACCTTTGGTGGAGCTGGTACAGCTTAAAGTACACTAAAAAATGACCTTGTGAAGTTTCTCCCTGAAGGTGCAGTCGGAGATCAAGAGGAAATGGCGCAGCTGGACGGTGAACCGGTACTTTGCTGTGGACCTGAAGCAGCAGAGGCACCCTTCGTTGGCCAGCAGTGGGGTGAACGGCGGGACTCAGCTGTCGATCCTCAGCAAGAGCAGCTCGCAGATACGCATGTCCAGCCCGCTGGCGGAGAACGCCAACATCAGCCTGCCGACCTGAGCGTCTGACAGGCCAGAGCCGACTTCAAGGTGCCGTTCCACTTAACGTTAGACCAACCAGAGCAGACCAAAGTGGCCCCTTGTAATTCTTATATTTTCTACTTTATAAAAAGGGAAAGCATTTTACTAGAGATGATCAATTTTATTTGGGTATACAATGAAATAGAAATATTTATTTATAAAAAAAAAAGAAAAACATGGCGATGGTCATTTTTTTAATAATTATCACAGCACATTATCATTTTAGATGAATACAATTAAATTTAAATTCCCTATGAGCAAACCACTCTCAGAAATGTAAGCAAATAAAGATTGTGCCATAAGAAAGACATTGATTTTCTTAAACATTTTAGAAAAGTAATTCTTTAATATGAAATATTTGGGGGTCACATATGATCTGTTTGTGTACACTAACTGTGCTTCAAAGTGCCATACAGTTCGCCTGACTGGATCTCACTATAGTCCAAAGGTTTAAGAAAAAACAAACAAAAAATAACCAAAAGCTCGCCTTGCCTGTACAAAACGCTCAACGTTTATATGTAAATGTTTCATCTTGAATTTAAACATGTTCCTACAATCAGCCGTAAGTACAGAGTATGTCAAAAACACCCATGTGTAAATAGTTACTTTTAGTGTCTAGGTTAGTAACAGCGTATTGTAAAGACCTTTTCAAACAAAAGGAACTGGAGCCCAAATCTGTAGACACTGTCATGTATGCAGGGGACCCAGTGGTTCATGCTCTCTCTAGTCTGGTTTTCCTTTATACAAAAGAAGGAAGGGAAACATGTAATCTACAAGCTCAGTGAATAACGGCAGAGCAGCAATTGCCAACTTTTTAAAAAATAAAACCAGTTTTTGTTTTACCCTTCAAAGTGGATAATTTAGACGGAGGTGTTCCCGTCAATCCGTGTCATTCTGCGTTTTGTACATTTGCAGTTTTTGTCATTTCTTACCCAAACCTTTATAAGTAGAAGATTTTGTTATCTGCCAGAGGACATGGTGCACTGGCCAAGCGTGATAATAATCAGCCTGATAATAAATAATCACGCTTCGAGAGCCGATTATCTAAACCGACTTTCTATAATCTGCTTATCATCAACTCTAAGGAAATGTGGTTATCTGCCAACAGGATGTTACTCAGTTGTTTTGGTTTTAGCAGTGCTTACAATCTTTCAAATTTCTTAGTTAGGGATTAGAACCAACATAAATGGGAATAGAGAGTTAAATTAAGAGATTTGAGCATTTATAACCATTAATCACAATACTTAATCAAAGCACGTACTTGCAACAAAATAATAAGATTCTGCAGGATTGTCAAAGAGCATGGGTATGTTATGGTATAAAATGGAAGGGAAGAAATGGTTCTGCATATGTACAAATGGGCAAAGAAGGAAAAGTGGGCCATTCAGCTAATTTTTAACCACCACAAATTTCAACAAACCCAAGATGTGTTGTCAGTGAACATGAGCAGTTTGTGCCAGTGTTTGTCTCCAAACATAAGTTCACCATGCCATGATTCCATGAGTGCTGTATTTCATTATGGGTGGTCATCCTCACTCTGTGCTCATCGATTGAGCTTAAAGCCCATTGTGCCACCTTTAAGCAGCTCCTTTTGCAATTTGATTAGACACCTCGTTTTCCAAAGTGCCTACTCATACAAATAGCTATTGCTTTAATTATCAGTGAACACGTGATTTAATGGAGTTATTTTCTGCAAAGATTAAATAATGTGGTGGCTTTATTGTGGGTAGCATGCTTTTTGACAATGTGTCTCTGGTAGTTGAATAATTTGGAATTTATTATAAGAGTTTAGCCTTTTTTTCCTCATGAAATGCAAAATAAAATGAGGATGTAGTTGAACATCTTTAACAAGATTAATCGAGGTGTTTTTATTGCACCTACCATACATTTTGAATTTCTATGCCATTTCCACCACATGTATGACTTCAGTAGAAACATTAATATTGTCAGTGATCAACAAAGGCTTTAATTTACTCGCTTCTGACAATCGCATTTATGTGTTGCTCTGTCCTTTTTTTGTGTGGTCAAACCAGCTAAAAAGTCATTACTGTACACATGGAAACCATGTTAAATTAAAATGTGAAAGGGTGTACATAGAAGTTTTCCACCATATTTTTAATTTAGATGTTCATTTTTTGTCATACAAGTAGATTATAAGATTGTTGTATCTTCAAAAGATGATTTATAATACGTGGAACAGCTATGGATGTATATTTATTTTCCAACGATTATGTGCTATGTAACATATCGACTTGTACAGCTTACAAATAGTTTTGTCTGTAACGTAAATGTCTGATTTTATTACACTAACTGATGCAGACTTGGTCAAAGTGCCATAAAGATTGTGTCCCTATTATAAGGTGAGATTTGTGGCAAAAGATGGAGAAAAAACCACAACTTATTGTGCAGAAAAAATAGGGTGTAAAATGGCTTTATGAAAAAAACATGAAGCTAGAATCTTCTTTTTTGTGTGGAAGTGAAAGTATGTACATAGAGGAAAAAATTTGACCACTGCAACAGTTGCGTTTGAGCGTGTGATTAAAAACCACTCTGCTGCTTATGTGTTTCTGTCACCAGCATTCTGAGTCTGAACCTCAGAAAGAAACGACCATGTTTTAACGCTGTTACTGTCAGAAAAAAAAGAAAAGAAGAAGAGTTGAAGACTCCTCACATGACCTTAAATGTGCTGTGTATTTGTTCACCACTAGATGGAAGCAAAACTTTGTAATAGACGAGAGAGCGCTGAAGGGAAGCTTTTTTTATTGATTGATTTCAATAAATTCAATAAATATCATATGATATTTATTGAATTTGCAGGACGAATGTTTAAAAAGAGGAACAATGTCTATATTTGTATTGTTATTAGCATAATTCCTTATTTCTATTTTACACGAATTGTCAGACAAGCCATGTCAGCCTAATTAATGCTGATGTAATTTTTTGCAGTAAATAAAAAAAGAGCACTGTAAAGGCTAATCCAAACTTCAGCTAAAATCACCCATATTCATTTCTATCACTTCAAAGCAAGGTGAAGGAAATCTCAGTCTCTAAAGCAAAAGATTTACACTTACACTTGAAGAGTTATACTTTGTTCTTTATGACAAGTTTATATCATAATTAAACAGAACTGTATATAATATCTAACAACATAACACTTAGAGAACATTTTGTTTTTACCTTAATAATAACATTCCATTAGAAATTTTGGTAACATTTTATATGAAGGGGTGTGCATAAGACTGACATGACACCGTCATAAACATGACATAACACCTGTCATGAACATAAAGAAGTCTTTATGAATGTTTATGACTGTTGTCATGAAGTGTCATTCGGTAAATAATGACACTTTTAATGCAGAGTTGCTCTAAAAGTTGCATTAAAAGTCCATTAAAAATGCCAACTTTGCATTAAATTATCATAATTTACAAAATCATGCAAAGTTGGCACTTTTAATGTACTTTTAATGCAACTTTTAGAGCAACTTTGCATTAAAAGTGTCATTATTTACCGAATGACACTTCATGACAACAGTCAAACATTCATAAAGACTTCTTTGTGTTCATGACAGGTGTTATGTTTATGACAGTGTCATGTCAGTCTTATGCACACCCCTTCAAATAAAGTGTTACCGAAATTTTTAGCAACCACTTTAAATATGTTTACGACTGAATTAACCTTTTGCTCTGAGGTAAATGAGCTCGCTAACTCCTTTTAGATTGAGATGTTGAAATTGTATACTATAGTATGATAGATAACAATTGATAAACTCAGTATTTTTCTCCAAAACAAAACACATATTGAACGCTTACTTTCCCATTAAACTCAAAAGCCCCTATAAGACGACTTCTCCATCATGTTTTCTGTGGAAGAACTAATATGGAGAGAGGAGTTGAGATAGATCAGCCCGACGATGTTGCAACCCTGCTTCCAAATGAGGTAGATACAGCCCCAAATCAGCTGACCTGTACAGGTGATCAAAGTTGTGATTAATGCTTTGTGTGGCCAGTCAGATGTGAGATTTAAAAGTGTAATCAAGACCCAGAAATCTCTAGTCGAGCTTCTATTTCTAGTATAACATTTCTAATGTTTCTAAAAAAATATTAGACTCTAAAAAATCTAAAAAAAAAAAAAAAAGAGTAGTCTAACTAGAAAATCAATTTCTATACTAAGTTACATGAGACATGCTAGTATATCTATTGGTAGTAGCTAACTCTAGTCTGGATGGTATTGACCTTTTGCAGCTGTATCACTTAATCACTTAGTCAAAAGGTGCCATGACAAAAATCAGAAGTGAGAGCCTGGAGTATCAAACAAAGTCACGACGGTTGTTTTCCCCAAGTTGTTTTTGCCAGTAAGGCCATGACTTCTACTTGTTCAAGTTGAGCTAATTTATCTGTGAACACAACTCTAGTCTGGACAGTATTGACCCCTTACAGCTACATCATTCAATCAAGTAGTTGTTTGTGGCTCATAGGCAGCAGTATTTACAAAATTTGGAAAAGCTAGCTTAGAAAGCGACCCGTACCTTTTCTCTTCTGACTTCTGTGTTGATTTGACCAAATTGCCAACTTTGCCTGAATTTGCGCCACATGATTTAAACCTCTATGTCATAAATTGTGTTTTCTCTTACACCAGAGCAGACTTAAAAGCATAGTAAAGTCCGGACACTTGTTAGTTTTATCATACATGGTAGGTTCCATGATGGTGGGGCGTTTTCTCTATGGTTGCTAATGATTGGATGCATACCTTCTCCATAATGCAATATTTTACTACATCTTATTAACCGTACTTATGAAGTACATGAACATTAATCATTTTACCTTGTAAAAAGCACTTACTGCAAAATCACTAATACACAGAGGGCTGCTATCCATCTCCATCATTTTCCCCCATCAAAAGGTTTACAATAAAATGACATGTTTGGTTTGCATCCTTGTCTTTGTGCAGCTGACCACATAGCACCCCAATATCAACTAAATAAAAGTGATTTTAGTCTACCAACCAAGTGAGTTGCTTTCTGAAGACCGTGACATCACATACAAAGGGTTAATAGCCATACTTGATAAGTTCAGCTTTTAGCTATTTTAGCCTAGTTTCCAAGCATATTGATAGCAAAGCATTACTAGTCATTAGACTGTAAATAAGTGACTATATTTGAAGCAATTGGTGTACACTTCACAGCTTTAAAGATGTACACTAAGAATGTTATGATTTATGTCAATCTTTCAGATCATACTTACCATAAATGCTACCCATCCTTATTCAAAGAACGTTTGCACATCATCAAATCCAGTATTGTTCAGATGGCTGAGGTTTAAAGCTGAAATCAACATATCAGCACATTTTCTCCTTTAAAAAGCTAGTTTCTAGCTAGCTAGTCATATGTAGGCAATTTTCAAGTAGCTGGTAGCTTATGAATGCTAACTTCACTTTTCTGTCATTTGCAGTTTAAGTAATAGACCACCATGTGAAACTCACTAAAATATGACTGTAATTGCAAAAATTGTCAAATCTCTTGTTTGAACTGTGTTTTGTGATGCATCTCTGTGTTAACATGCAGTTTCAACTGCTGTGGCTTGCTGAGCCAGTTTGGTCAAATGTGTGTGTGTGTGTGTGTGTGTGTGAGTTTTACTGATTGTCAATGAATTTTTGAATGTAGAGTTATTGCTTCTCAGCTGCTCTTAGATGTTCCCTGCTATCAATTTGCTCTGGTGTACAAATGATGTCTTTTCTCTATCATAAATAGTGTATATTTTTGCCATACAGGTGGACTTCTTGACTAAAATCTACAATGTTTGTGACAGTGTCTTTTGTAAAGTTGTTTATGGTCCAGTTTTAAGAGTGTAAGTGGATGACTGGAAATTTGAGCGAATGTATTCTGTATGCATGTATACGTAACGACAAGCATTCAAAAGAATTTAAACATAGATGTTGAAAAACGATGTAGAAACTTTCATCTTGTGTTCAACCTGTAATATTGAGTCACGTATAAGTGTACTGATGTCCAACATCCACGTCTACTTGTGTGAATTAACTGCAAAATAAATCTGTGGTATGTTGTTGTACTTTCCCAAGACTGACATTTTTTCAGACTCTAAATTTATAGGAGTTTTATTTCTACCTCCATGCACAATGAATACGTCAACGACATGTACAGTTGATTCATTTAATACATAATCTAATGCTTCCTTTCAAAAATCTAAGCAGTGTGTGAAATAATCCAGTACAAGTGCTGTGGTTTTCAACAAGAAAGACACCATCTAAGGCACATGTGTCAAAATCGAGGCCCACAGGCCAAATCTGGCCAACCACAACTATTTCAAGAAATTCAAGATACTAGCTTTGTGCTTAAATATTATTGTATCACTCAAATCAAATCTGCTTCATTTGTAAAGTCCCAAATTACTTCAATGATAAAGACTATTAAGTATGATAACATTTTTAGAAGTACTCATTGAATACAGACAACACTATAATACTATACATTCTCCCACATGATTAAGATTATCTTGATGTGGCCCCCAAATGAAAATGAGTTTCACACCACTGAAGATGGCCCTGTGGCTAAAGTTAGCATTGAAATAACAATTAGAGTAAAGATAAAGCTGTGTGGACAAATCGGCTCATTCATTTATTTACAACCTGTAAACTCAAGCATCTGAAATCCTCTTCGGTCCAGGGCCAGCTCTGTCTCGGTTGTTGCTTCCTGTCTCACGATGGCACCATAACGCCTCCACAGGTTAGACTCTGTTTTTCTTCTGCTTTCATATCTTATGTAAAACAACAGTTGAAGTTATGCCGTCGTCATGCCACGCTTGTATTGTTTCTTCACATTCAGAATTGTTTTTCCTCCTTTTACAAACAAGAACTACACAGCAGAAATGTTGGCACTAGACGAAGGCAAACCCAAGCCCCCGTGGGTTCGAATTGAGACCTGAGTGATGCTTCTCTTAGCAGGAGTGAGATTTGGATTGTGACACCTCCAAAGCCATTTCCGGAGCTCTGCCTGGACCTGCAGCCAAGCATATAAGGTGGAGTGTAAAGCATCTGTTTGTTCATCTCGAAGCATTCTTTTGTCACAAAACCACAAAATTCCCACCTCTCCATTCATGAAGCAGTAAAGAAGTGCCACAACAAATCCCTGCAACACAACAGAAGTCACTTTAAAATCACTCAATATCAGGTAATATTTCTCTATTTTGTATTGCAACTTTTTTCTCCATTTAATATTTTCAGTAGAGTTGAAGTGTGCTAAGGTTTTTGAACCAAAATGCTAAGTGGTTATCGACTTTAACTATCTTTTGTTTAAATGCTGCATTAACATGCTCCACTCGTTATCCAAACACAAGTGGTTGCTACAGAATCCATCAGGCAGGATGTGTCCACTTATGATCCTCTTTCCAGTTGTATTTATGAACAAATCTGCTCTAAATTGCTTTTACAAATACAAATTAGTTTCTGATCTCATCCACTTTGATAAACTCACATATATTTAGAAAATGAATTGGTCAAATTGGAATATTTCTCAAAATCTCTGAGGGGAACAGTAGTTGCAGCACTGTGCTTGCTCTTAAAAGAGATTGGCTCTGTTCAAGCCAATGCTAGCAGGTAGTGACGAAGTCTATAAAAACCCCTTCATGACAGATATGCAAAGAGGAAGCCTTTTTCCTCTAAGAAAAATATAAAAAAGTTTTCTAAATAAAGATTAGACATCAATATATGCCATTTTATAGATACAATCTGCCTAGAAAATACATAATACTCCACCTCCCTTCAAAACTGTTGTATACCTGAAAGGATCCCAGGCCCAGCTCAATGTACAGCCTGGCAGCCACTCCAGTGTTCTCAGGCAGGAAGGCAAACACAGTGTAGTGCATCCCAAACAGAGGAATGAGGAACAGGGTTGATTTAGCCAGCCGCCTGACGCAAAAACAAAGCGATCAAAAGACTATTACAGATTTGACAAAACTTAGGCCTCATGGTAAATAGGCTGGATTTACATAGCGCTTTGCTAGTTGTACAAACACTCAAACGGCTTTCCACCTTTAGCCACAGTCACCCAGTTGCACTGCATAGACATGCATTCACACAGATCAATGGGTAACGTGGGGTTAATGGCCTTGCCCAGGGGCACATTGACATATATTTCAGAATAAAGCTGAAATCAAAATATCATGCTTTGAGCTCTCACTGAGCCACAGTGTAGAACTCTGTTATTTGAGGCTTTAGCAGTGAAACAAAATTAAATATTCAGGCAATTTTTACAACAATAAATGGTGGTTAGAGATGTGTATATAGGCCTCAACATCGGTGTCGGCTGATGTTAGTCATATTTTAAGATATCAATATCACTCCGGTAAGTAAAACCAGGCCAATAATGACAACAAATTTTTATTTCCATCTTGTTACTATTTGTGTTTCCAGAAAGGAAGGGAGTCGGCCATGTGGTCATGTGACACTGATATTGATGCAGTACATGATTAGGTGTTTAACTGAGGCAGACAAGTGATATGGGTGTTTTTCTAGCTTTTATATGATGATGAAAGTGTAGAAAAATGTATATAATATATCTGTAAATATTGGTTAAAGGCCATAACTCCAGTATTAATATCGTATATCGATATTGGTCAAAATTTTCATACCAGTGCATCCCTAATGGTGGTGATTAAAATGCCAAATAAGGATTTATTTACATCTAAGACAAGTTTAGATTGAATAACTAATGCAATAAATATAAATAGCATAACTTATTTAAAAACAGCAACTTGTAAATCATGTTGTTTTAATCTGCTTATTTTACAAAGACATGATAAACTTTTCATTTCAGTGAGACAGAACAGTGAGAAAGAAGATCCACTTATTAAGAATCAAACAACAGCTAGGCTATTCTCTAACAGATGTCTCTGTTTATGTTTGTTGGTCTGAAACTAATAGATGAGATTAAATAATTTCTCTTACGACAGCATAAATCCACTTTGATGTTGACCATCTCACCAGTCACATAAAACAATGAAAATTGGGGTTTTAACGTGACTGCTTCAGGATTTGAAATGAAAAATCCACCTGGATGTTTCATGCTTAGATTTGCATTGTGTTCTCCTTTAGTCACACCTGTGCTTTGGGTCTTTTTGTGCTCATGTCTCTGATCCACCTGAATAAGGATGAAATTTGCAAGGCAGAAGTGAAGCTTTTGAGCGTGTAAAACATTCATTGAATGGGTGGAACAATTCTGTCGCACAGCGATGAAAGAGACGTCTATTTCTAGTATCTAGATTCTATTTTTATTTGCTCTCTTTTGAGATGAATTCAGCTCAGCAAAAATCTGCCCTAGTCAAACTGCTAATACAGAAAATACAGTGATTCAGGTGAAGCAGTATTCTGTGTTATACTGAATGAAGCATTTTACAGAAAGAGGCCATTCATTCTGTTAAAGGATTTTTACATTGTTCCCTTGTTGCATTGCTTGCATAGCAGTTTTTAAACAAGAGTAAAATGTATATCCTATAAAATAAAATAAAATAAAAAAACAGCTCTTACAGGCACATACTTTGTTGATTTTAATAGCGTCTTTGAAGGGCAGAGCTCTACTAATCTCCTAACCTTGATAATCCTGTTCCTGAGGAAATGATTTCATGTTGTGTTTTTAGAGTCTGTGTTCAAGCTTGATATGCTGTGCTGCTTTGTTGAGACTTACATGAAGTGACCAGCGTCGCTGTTTCCAGCCATGGCTGAAGATTTAAGCTTTTGGACCAGAATCCGGATAACGTTTATGAAGATGACTATGTTGACCTGTCAGAAATATATGCACAAACCATCAGCATCAATTATAGTTAAAATAAAACCCAAAGCCTCTCTTTATTCATTTTTTTAACAACCAAGTCACTTATGTAAAATTTATATACAAATTGAAGCTTCTATGTTATTCTGATTGTGTGAGTAGGGCTGCTTATGTAAATTATGTCACTTAAAACTGAAATTCTTCTCCTGCCAGAATGTTGCAGCTTCATTGTTAGTAATCTGGGAAGCAGGTCTCTCTGCCCACAGCTAGAGAGAAAATCCACAGTGTGATTAAATGAGAAATCAGACAATTTCAAATTGTTTAATCACACTAATGGTTAAAAGGCAATTAGTCACTTCAAAAATTTGGAAAATGTGCAACTTGGTATTATTCCCTTTCTGTTTGAGTTGCAACAAAAAGGAGCTCCAGTCTCATAGATAATCAGCCCTGATTTTAAGTAATAAAATTTAATTCTGTCCAAGCAATTACAACTTATCTAAAGTCACTCTAAACTTTTTATTAACTTATTATTACTTCAAACTGCAAAACCGCAATGAGAAGTTTCGAGTACAAGAGTTACAGGTTTTGAGAAGAAAGACTTGAAATCCTATTTTCAGACTGAAAATGTGTGCTTTTGGATTGTTGCAGAAAAAATTCCTCCGTACAAGTACAAATGGAAGTATGTGTGAACCAGAAGAGAAAAGGAAATGAAGCAAATGTAGCTGTAAAAAAAAAAAAAAAAATCACAAAAAAAATCATTTTATCATGTTGCAACAGCTTCCCAGCTCGTCACTCACCAGCAGCGAGCCTGTTATTGGTCCTTTAATGATCCACCAAATGCCAACGTTGTCATTGTCATCCCAACAACTGCAGTGAAAGACAAACTGCATTCAGCTGAGCATGAAATGAGCAGCTTCAATGTAACTAATATCAAGAAATAGAATGAAGTTTACGACACCCTCTGTCATCATAGAGAAATCTGGTCAGAACCCAAAGTATGAGAACCATTGATGGCAGTCCTATAAATACAAAAGCACAGGAATTATGCACGGTAGATAAAATATTGACATGCTGTTAGATCTAAATAAATCTTCGTAGGAGGACATGACTTTATGTTTACTCTGCATATCAAATTTATCTTTGTCCTACTTGCATCACATTGCCTAAGTAGGTATCTGGTGCAGTCATAAAATCAGGTGAAGCAACAGAAATAGAGTAGAAAACGTTATAACGTGATAACTCTTGAACATTTATTTTTCTCCTTGTCAGCAATATGCTTCTGTAGCTTCTGTAGCATCTCATTATGAAGTGGAAGGTAAATCACTCATAATTTTCAATCTATTTTGCAAATAAAAATCAGAAAAGTGTGGTATGCATTTGTAATCTGGCCCATTTACTCTAAAGTTCAGTGTTTTCTGTTGCCTTCAGAAGTCACCTAATTTAAAAATTAACAGGATTGTGACTTAATATTAATGTAATTCTAGCTGTTTTGTGATGGCTTCAGACGTTTGCCAGGCAACATTAGTGACCAAACGGCATCAAAGGTGCACAGCAAACAGGTCAGGAATGAAGTGCTACTGGTGTTTAAAACACAATCAGGTTTTGAAACGACATTCTAAGCTTTCTCACTTAATCTGCCATCTAAAAATTGGAACTAGGTATGGCACAGCTGCAAACTCGTTGGAGGCTCTGAACACAGTAGCCCAGTAAGGAGAGTACTGAGTAAAAGAGCAGCAAAGCAACTCTGGAAAAGCTACTGTGGAAGCAGAGGTTCACAGCTCAGGTGTTGGTCAGAAGAGGTTCTGTGTAAAAGATGCTACAATGCAGGAGACACAGGAAGCATGTGGAATAATGTGGACTCTTCAATTGACATAAATATGTAGCTTGTTGCCTTTGATGCAAAGCCCAATTTTTGGAGGATAATGATCATTGTAAATTACCATGGATATCCCATTCCTACCATAAAACACTGTGTTTCATGGTGCTGTGGCGGTGGTGTCTATTTATTTATTTATTTATTTGTTTGTTTTTGGGGTTTTTAAGCAGGGACAGGGAAACATTTTGATGTTACAGGGCAAAACTGCTGTAACATCAGTTACAGCAGTTTTATTTTATAATCATCCAATTAACAATTACATCAAATTCAAATAACACAAAAAGGGTTTATGGTTGTAATATGACAAATTGTAAGAAAAGATGTAAAAAAAAATACTTTTGCAATATCTTTCATTTTGATTAATATTCATTTTCATACAACTATGAAACCCATCACAGTTAGACTTTATCCATTTTTATTCACTGTTATCCCCGAATATAAAGTACACTTGTACATCTTACATCATCTTACACAATTATTATTTTCAGTCAGAAAAAAATAGGACCTTTGGCTTATATAGTGAGCTAAAGGTAGCAGGAAATGTGCAGTGTAACCTTGTGTTTTCAAAACTGGTGTATGTTTGAAACGTTTGATCTGATTATAGTTCAGGAGATTCCTCTAAGGGGTCACTAAAATTAATAGGAGAGAGAATGCAGAATGATTTTTTTTTTTCCCTTAAGCCTTCACCGACAAGGTTGAAGGAAATTTGTTTAATCCTCAACAAGGTTTGATGGACAGAGGCACAATGCGTTTCTTCTTTATCTCCCGTCGCAGCAGGTGACGCTCTCCTGAACTCAAATCTTCCCGTCTTGCAGACACCGGCTTGTTTGTGAAATGGCATGGCATGGTGGAGCTTTTCAAACAATTTCATTAAGCTGCTTATAAAACCTCCCGAGTTGGAGGCATTGTGTCACCCTGAATGCAGGCGACCCGACTATTCTTTAATTATACTGACACAGGGTCTGCACGTTCATCCCCAAGGGTCTGATCCATCCTGCTGCTGCACTTCGTCCCATCTAACCACAGATTCTAGTTGAATCCCTGACACAAAGACCCCATAAGCAGTGCTTGTATGCAGCACTAGCTGAACATAGCCTTAACTCATTACTGACGTTACAAGAACAACAAGCCCAATGTGACCTGTAAACTTTTTTTACCTGCTGTCATTTCTGTTGCATCCAACTTTTAAGAGCTTCTCAGTAAAAGGGGAAAAATAACAAGCTGCCTGCCTTTTCTTTACTGTTAACCCTACAGTAACCAGTCAGTAGCTGCCCTCTTACTGTGGCTGAGTAATACTGCAGCATGTTGGTGGCAGAACAAATTAAACAAATAGGGCTTGGGAAGTTTGAGAATAGGTAAATATAGGATGAGGTGACATACGACTGCAAGAATAAATTCAGAAACAGGATGTTGTCTTGTTTGGGATAACATGCTACGCAGATCTCATTAAATCTGCGTAAAAAGCTCAGAGAAACGGAAGAAATAACTATTACATGAAGCACAATCGTATCTGCAATCAGTCGCTGTGAGAACATCCTGTCAGCAGGCTTTGAGGAAGCTGATTATCTGAAAATAGATCATCAGTCTGAATGAGTCAGAATGTGTGCCAACCCAAGTCACAAACATAAAACTTAAAAATTTTCTAAAACTTCTTAGATTTTTAATGAGATAACAAAATCTGTTTTTATTTAAATGTGGCACAGAAACATGTTTTTTTTTTTTTTTTTAAACAAGGCAAAGTCTTTTGATTGGCTAATAATTTCATGGCCATTGCGTTCCTGCACCATTCTGCTTGATTCTAATCTCGCTTCACAGCTCAGTCTGAGCTTTCTCCCATTGAGGTGGATTCCTTCAGTACCATTGCAAATGAGCCAATCAGCAAACATAATGTAAAGTTGTGAAATGATGTTGATGTTCTGTGTTGGTTTAGAATCATAATCTGCCTGTAGTTTTAGCAACAACTGAACAAAGCCAGTCAGACCATGTTGGCCACACTTCTGAATATTGAATTAACTTTAACAGCCATCTTGTTCAGCTCAGCACTTCTCTTTTTAAAATGGAGGACAGTTGTTTACAGAGCAGGCAGTTTCCAGTCAGCTTTATCAAACTGGCTCATCATTACATACGTTACTGAACGATTGGGAAAAGTTTAAAACTTCAACAGACTCCACACCTCCAAGAAGCAACCGTCGGAAGCTCATTGGATATCCTGTGAGTTATCCCAGCAAAATGAGCATAATGTTGTAAACAAACATATTTTTCATGTGTTGCTTTAACATTTTACGGCTCTGTGATGTAAAAGCAAGTTTACAGCCTCAAATTATTATTTTCAGTCAGAAAAAAATAGGACCTTTGGCTTATATAGTGAGCTAAAGGCAGCAGGAAATGTGCAGTGTAACCCTGTGTTTTGAAATTTATGGGTGGATAATATTAGGTTTAACACAGCAGTGCCCTGCAGTGCATACAACTATGAGTCTGTGATGAATTTGACATGTACAGATGACTGCTGCCTTTCTTACTCACCCCATCCAATGAGAATGTACCACCAGAAGTATTTCCTCTGAGAGACGAAAGTGAGGGCCAGCAGGGTCTGCAGATACATGCCCTCCACCAGCAACCAAAAGTAATTGGCTAGGATGCTGAACTGGAAAAAAGCCACAGCTGACTTACACCCAGCCTGCAGGATAAAAATAGACACGGAGTTAAAGGCATCCATATATAGAACTACAGATGAGCTTGTATCTATCCCAAATCGATGTTTCTGCTTTCAAGCTAGTTAACTTTTGTAGAAATTTATTTGTTGGTAGAACAAATTCAACTAGACCCAGCATTATTTTGATCCATATTTGTAATCCATTAAATGACAGAAACAGTAGGATTAAAAAAAGAACACTGTTCTTATGTAGGTTCCTCACTGTGCTGACTTTATTATTTGACTTCCAACATTTCAGACTGTATCGCCACAATTAAATAAACTTCAGACATGTTTTTGTATTTCACTGTGAGTTTTACAAATATTTTAAACTCAATAAAGTGAAGTTCTATAAGTATTGCATTTGTGAGAAAAATGATGGGCATTAAACTTGAATAACAGATCTATTATTTGATGAAGAGCAATTAAAATTAAAATTCTGACACTTTTCGACCACATGTTTCATTCACTGAAGACACTCACAATAGCCCCGCATTATTTAGAAAATCTTCTGTTTGCTTGTTCAAGTCCTGTCTGCTTATTCCTGCCATCTCAAAAGCAGAGAAATTCTGGTTTTTGCATTCTGATGCTGGGAGATTTCACCTAAACAATTTCTCTTTTTGTTGATGGGCACCGCAGACCAAATGCAGCCAAAAGAGTTCAACACCTGTGCTGAATGGGATAGACTGAGGCTGGCTCTCTGCAAAGCTATTCCCCAAGGCCAACTCAAATGACTCTGTGCCAATGCTTGTATATTCCCTTGCTGCTTGTGTGACTGAAGGATGAAGAAGAGACTGACAGGAGGGATTTGGTTATTGATTGATTTGCCAAGTGAACATCTAGAACTCAAGAAGTCCACTGGGATGAAACTGTCTGCCATTTTTTTTTTCCTGTCCTTTGGTTCCCATTGCTCTGGAAGGTCACTTCATATCAATTGGTCAAAACGTTTTCAACACATGGTCAAAAATTGGGAAACAGATCCTAGTTTAAATCAGTTAAATGATAAACTACAGAATGGTCATTCACTATTCTAGTCAAACCCATTTTCATTCTTGTCAGTGGGATTAGACTAATGTTTGTTCTTTGTTTAGCTTTTTGTTTGAATTAATCTAGGATTTTGCTTCTGTTTCTTATCAGTAAATACCAGTAACTATAGCTTAGCTTGATAAATAATAAATTTACTCTTTGATTCAAGTGACACCTCCAGGTGATTTTTCTTTGAAGGGAATGAATTTTAGTACCTTTTTTGACCGTATATATCTTATCAATCTGTGGGAAAAATAAAGGAATTGGGGTCAAATATCTAATTATATTGTTTAATATTAAAAATGGTGATTATATAGGATTACAGTTTAAAATTGTGTTAATTTAAACCACAGCAGTGGAACTTTAACTCTACTATGGTTGTTTTCCTTCTCAACCACCACATAATCGTCCCTGTTGGAATATTTATTTTAAATTAAAGTGGGTTTTTTTTTTTTTTTTTTGAAAAAGAAGAAAATGTTATCTGAAACCTCATTTTATAACGACAACATCTGAATAATACTAAAAATGATTTTTGACTTCTTTAAAATTGCAACAGTAAATACTGGGTAGGATCTAAAGTCGTTCAGTTTTTCTTTTGACTTCCCATCTTTGTCCCTCTTTTCGCTGTTAAAACCTTGTTATAATCCAAGTTATTATGGGAAAAAAAATCCCTTGACTAATTTGCAGGCTCACCGTAGAAACGGAGCAGTGGTCGAGAGTTTCATCTGCAAACAGCACCGCGTCCTTAATGAACACAGCACTGGCTCTCAAGACGAATGAGGAAAACAGGTTGATGTGGATGTAGTTTCTGGTACAGCGAAACTTCCTGTGCATCACAACACAGAGTCACACACCAAGGGTCTTCTTATACCATCTATGCAAATGAATACTCTTCAATATACTGAGAGGTTGGGGGCAAAAAAATGTATCAGTGTAGGAGATGATAATTCAAGTTTTAGATATTAACCACAATGTAAGGTAACCAAGGATCCCAGTATTTTTTCCTTAGTTCTGTCATATCTGTATGCATTCAGTGCTGTGGTGCCCTTACCTGAAACCTGCGAACACCACGATAGCTGTCAGGAGAGTGATGAGTGAGGTGGCATACCCTACAGTGTAGACCTGTCTGAACGTATGGAGGTAACTTGTCTGGAAGAAGAAAGGTCAAGATCAAACTGAAGAAAGATGTGAGGCAGACACTTTTAAACAGATCTGTAAGTTTCCCTTTAAAGAATCCTGCTTCAGATGCAACAATAATAATAGTGTCATCCATTGGCTGTATTTCTGTGAAAGAAGTCTGAGCTAAAGAAGGTGAGCATTGAGAAAGCCTGATTCCAACAAAGTTTGTGTGGGTGTACCTCAGATTCAGACTCGCTGTCATCACTGAAATGACAGGCGTCTTCGTAAGTTGGGTACATTTCAGACCAGCCATCAGCAGTGCAATTTCTGTACACAAACCCTGACAAAAGAGCAGACAGTGAGGATGTAAAGAAAAGCTAGAGAGGGGGAAAAAAGCGCCTGAATTATCGTCACATCTGCAGAAAAATTTTTCATCAGATATCAGTGAACCCAATTTTAATTTTATTTTCAATGTAAAGTACAGTATTGTGTTTCACTTGTCCAAATGAAGTTGCTGCTCATGATTGGGCCGTTAATCTTATGCAGACTGTTAAAGGTTATTTGTGATTTCCAGCAACAACTCTTGCTGATATTTTAGCATATGTAACAAAAAAAAAATATTCTCTGCAGCAAGATTGGCTCTTGTGTCTTTGGCTTTAATTATCTGTATACATCCCTCCCAGTTTTAATGAGATAAATTCTATGTACGTTCTGGTTTGAAGCTCATCTTTGCCATCATTACTGGCAAAAGGAATCAGTCACGAAAATATACATGCACAAAAACCAACATATTGATTTTTATGCATATTGCAAGACCTCATGCAGAGTTAATTTTCTTTGTATGGAGCAATTTGAAATCTTCAGGGAAGAAAAGTGTATAAAATTCATATTCAATTATGTAAAAAAAAAAACAGTATTGTCAAAATAAAATTTAGATCAATCCAACTCATTCCAGTACAAACTAATCAAACACTTGTGATGGTTATCCTTTTGTCTGTAGAACTGGAACGTGTTGGAAGCGTTCTGCATGCATTTTGATTCAAATTGGCATAATTGAATCCCACAATCGCGGAAGATTTGTTACCTTTGCATTCAGGATACAAATCTTCAATGAACATCATTCAAAAAGTGGATTAAGATGTTGACTGCTGCTCAAGTGTCCACATCATCACACTACCAACACCAGACTGAACTGTTGATTCAAGTGAGAGTGGATCCATACTTCTGAAGAAAATGAAAGGATTTTGTGTGGAAAACCCACGTGACCAGCCTATTTGGCCAACATGACGCATTCAAAGTCATATAAATCATTCTTCTTCAACATTCTGATACTTTCTGCACATGGAACCAGTGGGAGTCCAAATATTTAAAACTTCATTGTCCTTTGCTTGGGTGATCTGCAATTCAGTGTTGGCCACTGTTTCATTGATGCTAAAGGACAAATGAGCGTTACTAACGACGACATCTAATGAAATGTAGCATTAATTAACAATACAACAAGGAAAGCTGTGACATTTTATGCCAGTTTTACTCTCAATCACTGTAAACAAGAAAACGTTGTAGATTTAAAATAAATGAATATAAAAAGATACTTATATTAACATCCATTTCACCTCATAGTAATGGTATGACATAACATTTTTCTTCAGAAACACAAAAAAGACAGGAATTGTATTGTATTAACTAAAACTATATGACAAGATTTCAAACTCTTCCTGTCAGAAACATCCCAGGGCAGTGTGTGTTCATGCCAGCAAACATGCATGAATAATTCATACTATGTTTTTCCATTACTATCCTCACTTTGCACTAGCACTTTGATTATGTTCTATATAATTAACCTTAGCAGCAAAGATATTGTGCACAAAAACACAGTATTCCTCATCTTAACAACTGCGCTGATTAGATGTTGAGTACAAGTGTTTCGTTTATTTTTATTTTAATGAGGATGAGCATTTGATGAGCTATGCAAACCAACCTTGATTGCTGGAGAAATGCTGGAAGACCTCAGAGCAGGATAAATTGACAACTTGCCCTGCTTCGGCCCTCAGCCAGCATCCAATCTCGTCCCATTCTGTTTTGCACCCTGCAAAGCAGAGGGACGAAAGCAGAGGGACAAGTCACTTATAATCTGTCGGTTAGCACCTGTCATTATTGCATTTTTTTGCATGAAGGAGAAATGATAAAACTCATTCCAGATGCTTAACATTAGTCCGCTTTATCCATTCTCAAATCAGCAAAAAAATCATATCTTAAACAGATAAATAAAGCGCCAGAAAGGGTGTTCCTATGAGATCATTATCCAAAAAAACATATCAAAACTGGTTTTTGGGAAGTATGATGAAGTCTCACATTAAACTGAAAGTCCTGATCTCTTACCAATTGAAATGAACTATAACATATCCATGCCGAAGGATATGATGGATATGTATGTAAACTTCCGATCGCCTTGTGCAGTAAAACCATGTAGACTTTAAACAATGTTAATCTGTGACTGATAAAAATTTAGACTAGCATTTTTGCCAATCAGTCAGAAGGAAAAAGACATTTTCAGCCTGAACAACTGAGGCAGATCTAATCTGCTGTTTACACCACAGAAAAAGCCAGAAGGCTTTTTCACTCATAACCATCAATGTTTGCACAGATTTTGGCAGTCCATTAGATATTTTTGGGTTTACTCCAGTGTAACTGAATGTGAGGAGTAAAAAAGGACTTTAGCTATGCCCAAAGGTTAAGGCCAAACTGGCACTTAGGGTGTTTCGTTCTTTTAAGCTTTTGGGATCTTAAATAATTGTAGTGAAACTACAGAACTATATAGAAATGTCTTTTAAATATGTCTCTCATAAACAAGATCTTGTTACATGCTAAAATATTTTTCTATTACTGATAAATAGAAAATGTGAAATTAGGGGGAAAGGCAGCTCAGTTAAAAAAGAACAACATGAGCGCTACATCCTCTAGGTTATTTAAATTAGTTTCCGCTTCTTCAGACTCTGCATTTAGACATGCTGGTGATATACAAGCAGAAATGTGTTTTCTCTCAGTTCCTTATTTCATTTCTACAAAGCCTCTGTATCTAATCCATTATCAACTCTATTACTCCATCCCATATAAATAAACTAAGCATTTCCCTCCTTTTACGTAACCACGTGTACATTTTGTCAGTTTTAGTGTAACACTAGCAAATCATATTGGAGCTACAATGTGTTACTGTTCACACAAACCCTGGATCATTTACCTCAGCATCTTCTTCTCCGTTGCTTTCAGCCTGAATAATCCTGAAGCCTTGTACTTCCAGGTTGGTTTTTATGAGACAGACTGTTTGCTTTGAGGTTGTGAGACGTTGAGATTTTTTACACAGCAGGTGGCAAACGCCATCAAATGTTGATGCTACATTCATCCCACAAACATGCAGATTGTGGGTGTGCCTATCCGAAATGGGAGACTCCTTCATATATCTTTCCAGCGCCGCATGTTTGCTTTTATGCGCACTGGCTTCAGACAAAGGCAGGAAAGTGAAAGGACTCAAATTTAGCAAGCGAACGACTACACAATGCAGGGAGATCTGTCTTTTCAAAGGGACTCAAATTGTTGTGCTTGTTTGGCTTAAACAATACAAGACTTAGTAACAACAGAACTGTTATTGTCTTGTTTCCAAGCAACATCCCTAGATCTCTGTTTCCAATCATACATTTGATGATTTTGGTTCAATTGAAGGTTTGGTTATTCATGTTTCTTTTCATTTAGTCATACGGCGCCTTGAACTTTTTCACATAGTTTCACATTACTTTACTTTGATACACTTAAAAGAAAACTCCAGTCCTACAAACTCCCTTTAGAAAACACCTTATCAATAAATAGTGTTTAAATCTGTCTGTCCTTCGAGGGTTTCAGAGGTTAGAACATCACTCTGTTCAATGCATCATCTATAAATGGATATGGTATGGTGATTCTTTAAAAACCTAAAAAATATTTTAATTAGAACAAGATATGGATTCCCAGGAAGCTCGGTAACATCTATTTGGTTTGGTAGTCAAGAAAAATCTTGTAATGTTTAAAATGCTTGCAGTTCATTTGGATCTTTGGAGATTACCTTCTAGTTCTGATGTGTTTTTATTCACTCGAACTGCAAATTAATCACATATAGAAGAAGGAACTAAATCTGTTTCACACCTTTTCCTGCGAAGCTCATCTTGTTGTGAGGGGAGGAAATACAATGCGGATAAGACAATAAGAAGATTAAACTGACAGGGAACTGCATTTTGGAAAAATAAAGGCCATATTAACAAGTTGCTTTTAGAGTATTTGTTTGAGTCTAGCTGGTCAAAAAAAGAAACTTACACTTTCTACATCTTTACAAAGACTTAATTGCTGTCTGGGATTAGGAGATGTAATTCTTCTGTACTGAGGCTGTTTAACCAAGGACGCTGGGATTCGGCATTATCTCCCATTTTTAAATTGGTTTGAAGGAGTGTATTTCAGAGCAGAGTGTATGTAGGTTACGTGGAAGGATCATCCCAGGGTTTACATAGATTGGTTTTAATCTTGACACAATCCTAATTTAGGAAGAGACAACATCTTCCAAAAACTGTGTCAACAGCGACGGTGTGTTGCAAACGAATGCCATTAGCAATGTTGTTTGCTCAGACACAGCTGCAATACTGATGGTGCTAGATTAATGGCAGGAGAGCTGAGGGAAATCTGATTGAATTACTCAACTTCAGGTGCAAAAATCCTCTGATGAACTAGAGAGTAGAACTGAAATCATTTCCTGCTGTGAAGCACCGGATAAACTGATTGAAAGTGAAAGAGGTAGAGAACAGAGTGCATTATTTGCCTTCAGGATTAACATGCAACACCAATTCATCACCAAGTCACAATATGGAGGATTGGGCAGGAAACCCTGAATGTGGGCGTTCTGAAGCACATCCAACACTGCCTGGATGTTACCTGCTTCTTCACACAGACAAATCTGGTTACGTTGGATTTTCATTGTAGAAAGACCGAGGTATTTTGTAGGTATGCTAAAATGAAATCTATTGCAAAGCATATTTGAATGTGTAACAGTTATTTTCCATGCAAGTTACATTTACCTAGCAGCTTCTCCTTCATTCATTAAATGATTCAATATGCTTTTTACAAAAGCACAGCAGAAGAAACTCTTATTCCTCATCAGAAACGAACCTGCTTTGATTCTTGCATGTGTGTTTGAGGAATCCTTGAATCTTCCGCCTCAAAGATCACCCCTCAAACAAATCATACAAACTACCTCTCAGCCCAACTCTCCTAAAAACAGTTGTAAATGGCATAAGGGAGAAGCATTTTTATAATGTAGTGAAGGACAATCCAATTGTAAAATTACATTTCTTTTGAGTTATGTTTATATACACAACTTTTTTTATATCAATCAAGTTATTTTATTTTGCTACAAAGTGGCGCTATGTGCTTGGATAGTACTAAACACCACTCCTTAAAAGCAATAAAATTGTGAAATTGTATTCAGTGTGTGATATCAAAAGGAGAGCAGTTAGAGTTATAAATGCCATCACAAACATAGTTACAGTGATGTGAAAAGGTATTTTCCCACTACATATCTCTTCTGTTTTTGCTACTTCTTTCGCACTTAAATGTTCAAGATCAATAAACAATTTCTTATGTAAATACAAAATGCAGTTTTCAAATGTATTTGTTTGGTTGTTTTCATTAGGTTAAAAAGCTTTCCAAAGCAGTATGGCCCATTTGAAATTATTTGCACCCTGTGTCAAATCATTCATTAACTGATTGACACTTCTTCAACTAAAACCTTAAGGTTACAAACTGATACCTGACTTTTAACTCTCATTTGTCTTTGAATTTCTTCAGATCTGGGCATGATTTGTTGCATTTTGAGATATTTATCCTACATCATGTTGTCCTTTGAATGTGGTCCTGGCAGTAATCAAGGATGTTTCTAATTTCACTTTCACAAATGTAGCACCTTAAACCACTCTATGAGAAAGAAAC